TGTTACCTAGAGGTAACAAACGAGCCACCCACATTTCTATTCTGCGTTATCTTATCACTGTTTCTCCCCACCTTAATTTCCTCTTTTTACTCTATCATTTAAGAAAATCAAATGAAGCTCTTCACCATTCTCACTGTTAACAGCTAGAATTGTTTCTTGCAATAAACCTCATTAAAATATTTTGTTTCCCTAGCAGCCTCTTTATTTCTAGAAAATACTTCTGCCTTAATTTCTAAAGTAGTAATTGTCCTTCTCAGGAATAGAAACTTCAATATAAAGCATTAAAATATTTCTTTCTTTCATGATTCTACACGTAACCTATGCAACAGCCTAAAAGTAACTTACAATCACTCTCTCAATTTAAAATAAATGAATAAATCTTCATTTATGCAATAGTTTCATTCAATCTCATGGTTTTGGTCACTGTAGATCGTTGTTTCCACAGAGCTGCCTATATACAGTAGGTGCCTCTGGTGTCCTCTTTTTAACTTTTCTGCTATTCCACACATCTGAAGGTGGTTATTCTGCAGAACGCACCTTCAACAAGGTTTAGTTTTAGATGTATTATATTGTTTCTGGTACTTTTTAGGTTTAGATATATCACAACCAATACGGCCATTCAAATCTAGTCCTTCTGCTTTGCTCCATCTGATAACTAAGTTTATGGTTTCAGCAACTTTCTTCACTTAACATGTCAAAAAGCAGTTTGCCTTCGGGGTCCAGGTCATATTTCCAAATACTAACCTTACACTGCAACTTTCCATTTTCATCTCAATAACAAACTCTTCTTGCCCATCGTATCTGTGAAACATTGCTAAATAGATGAGTTAGCTCTACGCAATTACTTGTATCTCTTTCATTCTGGAACATACTAGGTCAGGATACCTAAGCTACAACAAGCTGTATGGCACTAGAGTGCGCAGCGCAAACCCCTTCACAGTTGCCAGAAAGCAGAAGTACATTTTAGGCATGGGAGAGAGTACCTAAGGGTGAGCAAAGCTCCTTCATGACCTCCCTCTAAGAAAACCTAGAAATAAGCCACAGTGCTGAAGAACTTAGATTAGAATAGCCAAAGACATAGCAAAGGTAAAGTAAGTGGAATGGAGATAAACTTGTTCAGGCCTATCTGAAAGGAAGAGCACACACAGCTCTGCAGCATTAGGGTGAGCTACAGCTTCTGAGAACAGCAACCAGAACAAACTCATGGTGAGGTGTTGCGAGAGCCATAATGTCTGCATAAAGACAACAGACATGATTCAGGATTTGTCTCTCTCTTTGCAAATAAGAAGATACAAGAGGGATACATGGACAGTGGAATTGAGTGCGCCCTCAG